AACCCCTGATTTTAGCGTTGTAAGTTCGTAGAACCGAGACACATCATGGAAACAAATAATTTAGTTATCTGTGTCTGTTCCTGTGTATCACTAAAATCTCCGCTAGTAAAAAAAAAAAAAGATAAGCATTATACTTGCCAACATAGGAATTTTTAACCTGACACCGTAAATAACGGCTGTGTGTGTGACCGTTTTTATCCCATCTCATATAATTCCATAGCCTGTACAATATCACACACACATAATTGACACCATGCACTTTTCGGTATACATAACACAGAGACAGGGACTGTTCCGGGACGTTTTGCAAGTTTGAACGTGGTGTCGAAGTATATGTAAGATGTCAGAACGCCGTCAGTTAAAGGGATCTTTAGGGAGGGGAGGTTATAGACTGCTGGAAGTTTGGAAAATCAGTATTTGAAATGCCCACAGTATTCTGTAATGCGCGTTTGACCTTTACTGAAGTCACTCAACAGTATTATAGGAATCTTATGGTAAAATTAATGATACAGTTAAGGTCAATAATGCACAGACTGAGCGTGACAAACATTCGCATATTAAGAATATCATCTTTGCAACTAATGTACTGATGTTATCGTTCACAGCGTGGCCATGTATAAAGGTACAAAAAACTATCCCGTCTCTGACAGAATATACAAATCGTACATCATCTTCCAGAAAACTCGGGAGACATTTCGTAAAGCCCTTTAGCACTGGAGCTACCTACGATTGTTCACGAATTTTATGGAGAAGTTATTAAAGCCACGTATACGCATTTTCAAAGTTGGCATGATGTAGATGTGGAGGTTGGAATGTGAATAAATAAAACGTGATTGCGTCTTTCGAAGTGTGAAGTATTGTAGTAGCGATGTTATGGCGTATCTTGTATTCTATGCATTTGGCAAGGGATCTATCTGTGAAGACGGCATATCTAAATGTTTGTAGGTATATCAAGCAGGAGGAGGGGGAATATTCAAATATAAAAAACACAACCTTTCAGCTAAGTACTTCACTCTAATGGGGCTCTCCAGCGGAGAAGCAGAAAGGCTTATAACATTAAAAAGTAGATTCCGATACCCATGGTGGGCACAGCACAGATAATCGATTGTGTAGCTTTGCGCTTAACAACAAAGAAACAAATACTCTATTGGGGATTTTACATGAAAAATAGAGAAATTGAAATGAACTTTGTTGAAATCTACTGCGAAAGGTCACTATATAATATTAGCCTGATCTCCTGATCGGAATTTAGGTCTTTGTGACCTAGGAGGGTCAGGTACTCTGAGACCTCTTCCTCCCAAATATAATATTAGGTTTATTTGTTTGTTTGTTTTTGAATTTCGCGCAAAGCTACACGAGAGCTATCTGCGCTAGCCGTCCCTAACTTAGCAGTGTAAGACTAGAGGGAAGGCAGCTAGTCATCACCACCCACCGCCAACTCTTGGGCTACTCTTTTACCAACGAATAGTGGGATTGACAGTCACATTATAACTCCCCCACGGCTGAAAGGGCGAGCATGTTTGGTGGGACTTTGCCCACCACGGGGATCGAAACCTCAGTCTTGCCGCTGAGCCACTGGGGACGTGTATGTATGATAAAAGTAATGTATATATATATATATATATCAATTACTGAAAATGAAGCCTCACAAATTGAATAAAAAATGGAGTGCTTTTACTTCACCAATATTTGTTTTATAGCAGCTGACTGGTTACAAGGGCGCTAACAATTAGGATAAGATATTATTATGTCGTCACTATTACACTAGTTGTTGACGTTCTGGTTCTTTACTTCAACATGCATCTTGAAACCTAGTTTGTAACAAAGATTGTTTTACAATCATCAAACTTTACTGTTAATCGCTGTATTACTTGATGTGAATTTAATTTTTTTATTATTTAGAGAGATTTTTCAAAGGAATAGTAAGAAGTGTATATATTTGAGTATTTAGTGAAAGTTCCACACATTTTCATAATCTCCACTTCCTTTTACGTGTTGGTCGGCATGGCCAGGTGGGTAAGGCGCTCGACTCGCAATTTGAGGGTCGCGAGTTCGAATCCCCGTCACACCGAACATGCTCGCCCTTTCAGCCGTGGGGGAGTTATAATGTGACGGTCAATCCCACTATTCGTTGGTAAAAGAGTAGCCCAAGAGTTGGCGGTGGGTGGTGATGACTAGCTGCCTTCCCTCTAGTCTTACACTGCTAAATTAGGGACGGCTAGCGCAGATAGCCCTCGTGTAGCTTTGCACGAAATTAAAAAAAACAAACAATCCTTTTACGTGCTTTACATTAAGTATATCGTTTCATTTATTTATTGTGCGTAATAAAGAAGATTTCCAAAGCGTATTGATAGTTAAGCAGAGAGTTAAATGTTACTATGTGTGTTTTCCTTAACTAAATTACTATCTATTTTATGTAGCATGCATTTTTTACCAAATAAATGTTACATTTATTTATTTATTTATTGTTGTTTTAAAGGTTCAACAGTAGCATTTATTATACGTGAATAAAATTCGGCGTAAACCATGATGAAAATTTCTCGTGACAAGGATCGTTTCCAGCAAAATACTGAACATTAAAATAAAAATAACTATTTGGATCTCTAATCTCAAGATCATAACGCCTATCGACATAAAAATAAGTAACGAAGCATAATTATAATTGTTCGTGTAGTAACGAAAGACTATTTACAGTTCAATTATTCCTTTTCTTGGACACAACGAACTCCCTAATCAATGCAATAAAGAACCAAAAACTACGTTTTATTGACTTTTCAAAGTATAACCTATCAAAAGCTTTAATAACTACAGTAACTGTATTTCTCTCTGTGAAGCGTAAATGTTGCCCGGCATGGCCAGGTGGATAAGGCGCTCGACTCACAATCTGAGGGTCGCGGGTTCGAATCCGCACACAGATAGTCCATTGTGTAGCTATGTGCTTAACAACTACCATACCAACCTTGTACACATACAAAAGTGATAATAGTCCACTGGTTATTTGTAAAAGGCGAACGGTGTGGACGTGTATAAAAATAGTTTATTATTTACAAACAAGAAAATAGTTTGCAAACAGTAATATAAATAGTTCATGTAAAGAAGAGAGTCTGATCATTTTACTAAATGTCACTGTCTAGCGTGAAATGTATTCATTCTCTCTCTCTCTTTGTTAGGGCCTGGCATAACTTTGTAGTAAGGGCACTCGACTCACAACCTGCGGGTGCGAATCACGTCACCGATCTTGCTCGCCCTTTCAGCTATGGGGACGTTATAATTTATCGGTCAATCTAATTATTCTTTGTTAAAAGAGTAGCCCAAAAGTTAACAGACAAGCTGCATTTCCCCTATTCCATTACTTTAAAATTAGGGACGACTCTAGCGCATATAAGGCCTCGAATAGCTTTGCGCGAAATTCAACAAACTCTTTTTGTTATTATTATTTATACACTGCAAGATTTGTTTATTCTAATGTTCTGTATTTGTTAAATTTCTATAACAGTTGTATATCAAAATTTATAATTATTTTGTATTATTTACCAAAAACAGAAAATTTAAGAATGAATGTTTTATAGAAACTCACATTGCTATGTTTTGTAATTAAAGCGTTTTTATTAAAGAACATATACGAAATAAGTTAGTTTACCCTTAAAGTAGAAGACAATGTCGTTGTGCCAACTGACATTAAAAATCTTTATTTTTATAGTTCCGACATGACGTGCACATATTAAAAAAAAATATATTTATTTTAATTTTGACAATTTTGAATTCAAGTTGCGCAAATTGTATTACCATCAAGTTCTTATTTATGATCTTGAATCTGAGCATAACTTAGAAAGCTATAATTTCAATTTTCACATAAGTACCTCTACCTGTTTATAACAGTGGCGTATTTTTAACTGGTTAACTTGTAAGTGAAATTATAACTACTTTAATTCTTTAAGATAGTCTCCTGATGGATAAATTGTAAGATTAGGGATTTACAACGCAAAATTTACGGTTTGATTCCCTACAGCCGATAGCCTACTGTGTAGGTTAACGTTAAAAACATCATGAAGATGAAAAATGTTACAAGTATACAAAAGCGTTAAACTAATAATTGAGTTAAAAACCTCACACGTTTATTAGTAAAATTATATTGAAGTACAGTTTGTGATCTAAACAATTTATCTAATTTTAAATAATTAATTTATTGACTTCTTGTGTGTGTTAAAGAACTTTGTGTGAACTACATTCTGACCTTTAATAATTCATTTTTCTAAGATGTCAGATTTTATAATTACATTTATTTTTTATTTCATTTCTGTGTATGTACAAACTGATTATTTACATATTTATTTATTTCATTAACATCATTGTAAAAGAGTTCACTAGTTAACGATTTGGGCCAAAAGATCGTTTTTAGAAGAACATAAACTGATCTTTGACTTCTTATTTTTTTCTTAACTTTGACGTGTATTTCAGAGAACAGTAGCTATTTAATATAGATTCAAAAGCGAGTTTACTTGTAATAATTTTTAACTATAAGTATGGACTATTTTAATACATCAAAACATCAGGTTTTGATACCCGCGGTGAGCAGTTCGTTAATAGCTCATTGATTAACTTTGAACTTAACAATGAACAAATAAGTTGTTTTATAACATGAAACTATTTTAGCCACGGTTCGTTCTTGGGTGAAAAAACTTTCTTGAACACATTAATGAAAAAGGTCTAAGTACAGATTATGAACTTTACAGACATATGTAATTTTCAAATGTGCTTATTTGTACTTTTCAACACTTGTAAGAGAATATATTTTTATTTGTTGAAATGCTCTGTGTCATAAGAACTTAGGAGACCTTTTTAATTTATAAAAAAGAAAGACTGGATTTTTTTCTTTGTACAATGTATTAAAATACCACAACATCTATTTAAATAGAGGATCAAAATCACACCGTATACTCTTAGCTTCATCACAAATTAAAAACAATATTTAATAAATCACTACAAGTTCAACAGTTTTGCTGCTTTATAAGAGTTTTATTTTCGAGATAAAGGTATATGAGAGTTAAACATATCCCCCCCCCCAAAGGAAACCATGAGAGATTCAGATTATTATATTATAGGTAATATGTAGATGCTGGTCTTCGTCAGCTGTTAGCGATCCTTTGAAGCTGTAAATATAAATTACATTAAGATAGTTAAGAACTAATGTGACATCACTTGGGATAGACCTATTAACATTTCATTCAATGTATAAGTCAAATCATTTAATACCGATTGTAGAAGAAAATACATTTAAAAACTAACCAATAATTGAAAACGAAAATAAGGACATAACATCTTTGGACATAAACAGGGCACAGTTGTCTTTGGTGTCCAATAAACGTATAACTTTCATTGTCTCGGAATTATTATTATAAAGTGTAGTGTACCTAAAGCTTTATAGCTAGGGTTACCTGTGCTATTCTGTATAAAATCCTTATATAGTTATTACTATTCTGTTTGGTTGCTTTAGAATGTAACAATCTATCTAGAGTGGGTACACTTTGACTTTCTGTAATAGTATTACGTTTTTTATATGTGCATGTCTTTTTAATTATTTAACAATTTGTAAGAAACATACGACTAAATATTTTATTTTCCTTTCAAGAAGGGAAAAAGCTTTAATAACGATAATGTATTTTGTTGTTAGTTTCATTTGAAAAATTATTGTAAAAGTAAAAAAGAAAATTTAAACACCTCAAACGAAAACAGTGAAGGAACTGAATATCTCAATTTTAGTGGAATGTTGAATTTTAGTTATAACATTTCAAATGTAGAGTGCTTTACGAAACTGGCATTATTTTAAAAATAACGCATTAAAAGAAGTAAAATCTAAGTGGCAACCTTAATAAATAACTTCATATTTTCATAACATAAGCCAATTTGGAAAAATAAAAAAAATACTTATAGCGCTAATCTACTATTTTACAAAAACAAAATGAAGCAGATTAGTTAAGAATATTTGCAATATATCTTACTGGTATTCTTTACTTGAACTGAAACTTGTGATACATGAATAGTTACTACAGCGTCTAATCGTTATACAACACCTTACGTTATCAGACACTACACACATTTTTTAGATTTCTTGTAAAGACTGTTGTTTATACACGTTGCAGCACATGAGATATTTAAGTCCTGCGACAGTTGTTTAATTTAATTTTAACATATTGGTACATTTTATCCTTATTAACTTACCTCTTCAGAAACAGTTCTTAATCGTTTCAGTGAGAGTATATTCTGAATCCTCGTGGGCTTCTAAAAATTTCCCATTCATACATTTTCTCACTTCCTGCAGGCATTGGTAAATAAAACTTAATGTTAGTTAAGATTTTACGAGATTAAAAGTTTCAGCAAGCATAAAATGCATTTGTGTAAAGCTATAAAATTGAGTTATAGTTCTCTAATAGACATATATCACATATCTTATTCTCCTTTAGTCTACTGAGTGACTGTGAAGTTACTTCTTGCATTTCATTACTTATATTACATATGTTAGCGGGAATTAAGAATAAATACACATGTAGTTGGGAGACACATTTCCAGAGCTTTAAGATTTGTTCCTCCTGAATTTTGCTAAATTCTGCCCTACGTGCTATTTTCTGAGGAAGGGTCCGATAATTTCGTATCTTACCTAGCATTTCTATGTGTGAGTAACAGGGAAGGGGCGGGGTCTGCTTTACGACTGTCACGTGAGGCAATGATATTTATTGTAATCTAATTTTGCAATTGCTCAGCTACACCTAATTTTGCAAATTTTTCATTTTAATACAGACCATTTTACTCTTAAATTCTACATTGAACTTATCAGTCGATCGTTAACTCAGCGATATGATTATGAACTTATAACGCTAAAATCCGGAGTTTGATTCGCCACAGAGGACACAGCGCAATTATCCCATTGTGTAGCTTTGAGTTTAACAACAAAACACAACTAGTCGGTCAACCAGTGTTCTGTTTGTTAATTATTAAGAAACTATTTGTTGTTATACTAATTCACATACACTTCCATTCTACATGTGACAGTTCTTGTCTTTGTATACTAGGCCCTTGAATCACTATTATCGTGGTGATCAGGTAACTGTGTGCTACGTTTATCCGTGTAATACCATAGTTATATATATTGCTGTGTTTATCATTAATCAAGTAAATAGTTAAGTATAGTTAAATAAATAATCACTTTAACGGACATTTCAAGCCTAAACATCACAACGTTTGAAAAGCATCAATTCCTGTAAAAATCAATTTTGATTGGAAAGATGCGTTTTACATATACCGCAGACAAGTCTTGAAATAAACCAATTGAAACGTCTACACTCTAAGCAAAACTGCTCGATTAAGTCTTCATTGTCAAGCATTAAACAAACAAAAACACATGTTACGAACTGCCAAATAAAAGTTTATTTAGACTGAATCCTCATTTCTACGAATTGTCTAATACTTTGTTTAATCGCACAAAGATACCTATATATGTATATAAAATAATTATGTTTCTGTACAACATCCTAAAATAAAGTTTGGTTATGAAAGCAGAGATAAAAGACAAAATGATATTATATGTAATCATCACCTGAGCATCCGCTTCTTTTTCTTTGCTACACATTACTTTGAAGAAGTCAGCCAGATTCTTGTTAGGAAACTTTGAACTTTCACACTCTCGAATTGCAGCTGGAAACTTGAGATAAAAAATACTTTCTGATACATCACCTTTGACATTATCTTCTAAGACTTTGTTTTCATACTATTTAATTGTATGCTTATATTCGTGTATCAGGAACAGCAGAATTGTCCTAAATTGTATTACAACTATTTTCAAATATGCTTCTCTTCTGTTTGTTTACAATAAACTTCATATGGATATTTAGGCATAAACTTCTGCTTATAAACTGAAAATATGCAACATTATAGAACAAGAGACAGAGAATTGAAAACATAACTAAAAGAAATGAAATTAAAATCACATCATACTAGATTTGTGAGTTATGTCTAAACATATATATCAGTGTGATGAAATATTCGTCAATACTATGGTGTAATTTACTGAACAAAATAGTCTATGTTTATGACAGGACTTCCTTTTCCAACCTTAAACTTTATCAAATGTCATCAGAAATTGAAAATGTTTTGTTTCTAAACGTTGCAAATCCAAGCTTTTAACTTGCCATGAAAATTTTTCCCGATTTAAAAGTTTGGAAAAAAAGAAAATTTGTTAAAATATTTTCATATCGTACTTGAATGTATACTTGTTAAAACACTTGTTTCTTAGAATTATCTGCGTCAAATTAACCCTTGATATAGATGCAATTTTTAATACAATTTGTATATGAAGAAGGTCTTTTACTGAAGAGACGATCAGTTAAATTTAGCAGATTCACGTTAGCAAAACATCAACAAAATTAACAAAAAATCATTTTTCATAAAATGAATCATAATACTACAAACACCTACCCATTCTTTCTTTCCACGAAACATTTCTTGGAAGCACTTTCTCACCTCGTTAATTTTTTGAGGATTCTCCTCTTTCATTTCTGTATAAAAGAAAAGCATGTTTGAGTGTATAAAGAATATATTTTTCTAATGTTACCAATAAGCTTTTGTTAAAATACTTTGTTTAAAAAGGAAAAAGATATCGTATCTCAGTCAGATCATTCTAGAAGTTGATGTATAACCCAAATGAAAGATGTTTGTTGAAGTTTTCAAAACTGACGTTCAACCTGCTACTGTTACTTAAAATTGCATTGGGACTAATAAGAAAAATTCAGTCTTTTCTGAAGCGTAGTAAATCAGTTGTGTATATGATGAAGCTTTGCTTTAATGTCTTATCCTAGTTTTCTACTGGTTTATTTTTGGCTTTTGTTTATTAAGTATAAACATGAAACGAGAACATCTATTTGAATAATACAATAGTTTAATATCTTGTACATCAAAAACAAATTGAAAATGAACTTACTACACATCAGTTGCCAACCTATATCTATAGTATTGCCTTTCGTCATCGCCAGGCTTACGAGTACAACAAGAGCCGCAAATAAAACTTTCATGTTGAGAATGTTGCTGTTTTTAATGAAGATTTCAGCTTAGAAAACCCTTTTTATATCATTCATCCAACATCTTCTAGCCAATAATTTCACGTAATTTCTTATTATTCTAAAATTATTAGCTTTCCTAGTATGTCAACCAATCGTTGCAAGCCTCTTTTCGTATTGGACAAACCGATAAACATAGGTTCCCTCCCTTAGTGGAATAAGATCACGTGACGTAAGTCTGTTTGTCTGCAGTTTCATTCCTTCTGGAAGCTCCATTTTGGTTTATCGCGTTATACCTATTACAGGTTGGAAGAGCTGTTTGCGGATACATCCACCAGAAGTAAATATAATACACGCGAATAGTGCGTATATTTTAATCTCACGAATTATATAAAGATGTTAAAATAAAATATTACTAAAGTGTAGCTAAATAACGCTAAGTTTAAATCGTCCTTGTTTAACCGCTAAGACGCTTGCTAAAATATTTATTTGATTTATTTTAATATATTTCTTTTTTTTGCTCATCTTTCATATTTAATATTAATTTTCCTACATAAATAATTTATATTATACAGTTATACTCCACACATGTGTATCATAGTAATATTTAAAGGCCTAAATAAGTATATGCACGCGACTTTGGTATACATTCTTTGCTATCGTTCGTTTCCCCCTCGGTAAACACAGCAGATAACCCGATGTGGCTTTGCTATAAAACACACACACATACTTTGCTATCGACTACTTCGAGAAGTTGGCTGAAGCTTATCCATTGGTCAATACTTTGGCACAGTCCATCGCTGAAGTTGTGGTGGACTACTGGATAGCACGACTTGGGAACACTTTAGGAAATTCATATGGATCAGGGAGCCAATTGTTCCCTGGGTGTTGTAAAGTGTTAGTTGTGGTGAATACTTACACTTCACCTTATCATCCCTTGTCAGGTTGTTTAGCAGAACAGGTAATATGGACTTCCAAGTATATGTGTGTGCCAAGTTTGTTGATCCTGAATGGAATGAATACTTGCCATATATCATGCTCACTGTTGACATATTGTGTGGTCCTCTCTCATAAGCAGACTCCTCTCCATCTTCGTAGTAATACACAAAGTATTTAAGGTCTAAAGAAGTATATGCGTATTTAACAATATAAAAGCAGAAGAAGAAGAACTATAACAAGTCGGTAAAGGAAAGGACGTATCACTGTGGATATTTTGTGATATTTTACAGCAACAGCTTGGATCTGGTTAAATTAGTTCTTCCTTTATACTGTGGCAGATTGGTTCATTGATATACAGTTTTCAGTAAATGCTTAATATCATTAATAAATTATTTAGCAGTGTAAATATCCCAGGTAGACCGCTATTATTCATCATTAATAAATTATTTAGCAGTGTAAATATCCCAGGTAGACCGCTATTATTCATCATTAATAAATTATTTAGTAGATTAATTATCCCAGGTAGACTGCTATTATTCATCATTAATAATATTTACACTGCTAAATAATTTATTAATAATATTAATGATGAATAATAGCAGTCTACCTGGGATATTTACACTGCTAAATAATTTATTAATGATTTATTAATGATGAATAATAGCGGTCTACCTGGGATATTTACACTGCTAAATAATTTATTAATGATGAATAATAGCGGTCTACCTAGGATATTTACACTACTAAATAATTTATTAATGATAAATAATAGCGGTCTACCTGAGTTATTTAGTAGTGTAAATATCCCAGGTAGACTGCTATTATTCAACATCTTTATATGCTTTGTTTATAGTGTAAAAGTCTCGGTAGACCGCACGCTATAGTAGCACCTTAATATTAAACTAGAGCTACATGAACATTATACACCCAGTGAAATGACTGGAACCACCTGTTTGTACAAATGTTCGATTGTATATGTGTGATGAGATGTGAATAATATAAAAGTGAAAACATCGAATACTGACAACAACAAAAATTACAAAAACAATGGAAAGAAAATTAGATAACAAAGTTCGTATCTTCGGTAACTGATCACACGAGGAGAAAGATCAGAGTAGAGGCAAATATTTACTATTTTTATTCTCTCGGATATTTCTTTGCGTGTAGAATTGCTTACTTTAAATTGTGTTGTTAGTGACGAGTGTGTATTGTCCATATATTGATGACGTAGGATAATAAACTATCACACTGAGATGGTGACCGAAAAGGTAAACGTACGTCATTGAAATTCTTTTCTCACTAGATCACAATTATACGCAGTGAAATGGAAATTAAGCTTTAAAAGTTTTTTGGTGTACAAAACTTGAAGATAGCTTTTATATGCGGAAACATATGTTAGCTGAGTTTATGCACAGATCTTAAAATATAACGTTGATAAACGGAAACTTCGGCACATGTAGATATTTCCTTTGCAACGTCTCAACAAACAATTGGTCCAGTTATCAACGCTATTTACAAGTTTTGAACAACTCGACTCTCAAGATCTAC